CAGTCTGCTACTGATGAACATTTAGAATATTTTCAGATTTTTGGCTATGACTGTAGTAAACATTCCTGAACATATCTATTACATTTTATATGTATGTACCTGTAAGTGAATCCAAGGTAATTACCTAGCCATTTAATAGTTCAGTCAATTGCATTTTTAACTTTGATAGATATTACCAAGTACCACTCTCAGCCAGCTGCATCAACTTATACTCTCATTACAATACTGTTTTTATTCTGGAGCAAATCACAAAACTTGAATGCTAGTGACAGAAACACACATTCCTAAAAACTAAATATTCTTTCATCTGCAGCCGTCTAATGAAAACTGTCAGATGAGATCTCAAAAACTGAAAATCCCTTTGGCTTTGCTCAGCTGTGGGGACATCCTTTTTCTCAAAGACAAAGTACTTGTTCCTACTGGCCAGCCTTTTGGAACGTGGCCAAAATTCATGGCTAACTGCTTCCTTTGTATATTTTAATAATAAAATATAGTTCTATTATTGTATTTATATAAAGTTCAATAACTGCACTTTTGTTAAACATAAATATTGATTCAAGAACATGCACATATCATTGAAAAAATATTTATAGAAAGAAAACAGGTAGCAGTGTTGTAGAAGTGCTTGAAATTCTATCACTTAGGCTCTCACATGGATTCCACTGCCTATTGACATTAAAATAAGAAAAGTAACCTACACGCAGAAAGAAGGTTGTATTCACATTAACATTCATGAAGGCTGAGCAGCTGAAGCCCTACATATCAAGTAGGGAATATATCTTTTGTCTACTGATGAGAAAATGTCTCAGTGATAAATGGTTACAGACGGGTGTCACAAGGGCAACAGCACACAGAACAGCTCTGACAAACTTAAAAAAAAAAAAAAAAGTCTTCTCCTGCAGTTCTTTTTGTAGCATTGTGGACCGCAGTGTCTACCTCCTCAAATAAAAGAAAAATATTGCAGTGCAGAATTCCTAACCTTTACTGAACACACTTCCCAGAAAACAAAAACACTCTTTGAAAGTAATTTAAAACACAGCTTCAAGGTCTTCATGATGCATAAATATTCAGACATTCTGAAAAGAAGTGCTCTGCGCCCTGCATCCCAGCTGTTTGGGTCGAACACGTACATTGTCATAAGACAGCATGGTCATCAAAGGGCAAAGTCTGTAACGTTAACTTTGGGAAACAGGAGGCATATCATTAAAATGCTTTACAGTCATTTACATAAATTCAAACACATTATCATACTCATTTAGCAAATCTGAGAAAAATAATATATTAAGTAAGGAGTTTGTTATTTAACAAACTGTATCTCATAGACCCCAACAGTGACTACCAGTGACTTTTAATTTTCAAAACAAAGTTACAATTTGTACACAGCCTTGACTCCTTGAGAATAACAAGCTGAGAACCAAAGCCTGAGGGCAAACATTTTCCGGGGCCTGACTCTAGGTGGCCCACTTTCCTCACCTATCAACACAAAGACAGGCAACCCTACCCCGCCAACCAAGGACTTCTCTCCAGTATTTTGTCTCTTCTGCAAAAGTCTAGAAGCTTCCGCATGAAAAGTAATAAGCACAGTACAATTTTCCAAAACATGGATGTCAACACTAAGCTTTTGGGCGACCTTCTCCACCCTAGACAAACCTCCAGATGCAGAGCAAGAAGAAACGCTCAACAGTGCCCGTCATATCCTTAAGCATCTCTCTCCTCCCGACTCCCACCCCTGGGTATTTTCTAGACAGTCTTTGCCAGCACTGTGTGCACGAAGGACAAAGGCGCAGCGGGCAGGTAGCTCCCGATCACCGGGTTAACCAGCGGGGTTGCCCCTCGGAGCTACAATCACGGAGGGTGAGGGGCGGGGTAGGGGCCGAAGGAGAGGAGATATGGGCGGAGCTGGAACTCGGACCCCGCCCCCGCGGCCCTGGCGGCGTCTCTGCGCCTGCGCGCCAGGCGCAGGCCAGTGGTTAAGAAGCCTCTGGGTCTGGGCTCGCCTTCGCGTCCCCGCCCTCCTCCTTCCCCGCCCCTTTCCACCTCCGGCCTCCTCCTACTCCCCCTCTTCTGCCCACCTCCGCCCACTTGACGCGATGACGCACGGCAGGTTTGCGGACGTGGCGGCGGCGCACGGCCCGGAAGGCAGAGACGTTGGTGGCGGTGGCGGCAGAGGGCAGGGGCAGCCAAAAGCGCAGGGTTGGTCATGAATTTGCCCGGGACAGGAGCCGCGGCGGCGGACCTGGCAGCGGGCTCCTCGTTGCGTCCCCGCTGCTAGCCGAACAGGTAAAGATGGCGGTCGGCGGGATTGGGCCCTGCTACACTCTCGCTGGAGATGGCGGAGAGCCCTCGGCCGCAGGTGTAGCCGGGGCCGCCGGTTGGGACTCGGATCCTGGCCTGCATGTAGGAGACCCCAAGGCAGAGGAGATCTTCGCCACCAACCCCACCGAAGCCCCTCTTTACACTCTCGGGGAAACAGGGTCAGAGGAAGGACTCCTACCTGTTTGGTTCTCAGAGCCACGCATTTAAAACCTAAACACTACATTTACCCCACGACAATATATGCTGGCAACATCTCGTCCACACCGTCCAAGTGTGACGGTGTGGCGTAAAAACCTGAGATTTAATCATCATGTAAACAGGGAAAGAAAAAATCTAGGTGTGTGGAATAGAGAGGAAGAGAAGTTTTTAAAACCTGAATTGCCCCTGGCGGATACAGTCCCTGTGTTACTATTATCCCAGTGCTGAACTACCTTGTGCCCTATGGCCCTATCTGCTTAAAGAAAGTCAAAGCAAAACACCCAACAACAGTTACTATAAAGTATGAAGGTGTTTGGGAAACAATTTACAATTACAGAGTGAGCTGGTTAAATGCTTTAATAACGTATCCATTGGTAATTACTTTTTGCCATGGTTTGTAATCTAGGTGGCATGCAAGGTTTTTTTTCCCCTACCCTGAGAATTAAGACAGGTGAAGAAAATTGAGCCAGATGAGATGAATACTATGTACTTTCTGCTCTCTGTATAGTCGGCTTAGATAATTATCTGCTTGGGCCTGTGACTAGCTTTCCACTTCCATTGGAGTCACAACCAGTTCTTGATTATTCAAAAACAGTATCCACTTTGTGGTAGTCTGCTGCCTGCATTTCATTACACAAGAGAAGAGATAGATGAAGTTCTAGTCGTATTATTTAGTATTTAGCAATAGACTCTGGAGAAAGTTTGATGTCAGTGTGTAAAATGGCTTTGCACATTGCTCACTGAATTTCAACTGTTCTAAGCCAGTTTGGGATTCTAACAACAAATTATTAGGGAGGAAGAATCTATAGGGAAGTATGGCCACATTTAAATTAGTGTATATTAAGTGGTTCTTAACTTTTAAGTCTACTTAACATGTAACTATTAGTTATCTAGGTTGGTCTAATAAAAACCCTTGAGTTCTTAAAGCATTGCATTGTTGTACAGCAGAGTCAGAGAGTTGTTTTTTGTTTGTTTTTTTCTCTTTGTCACTTCATATTTGTCTGTAGTATTCACAACTGAACTAAGTCCTTTAAGATACCATTTGGGCTTGGCTTCCATGACATAATATTTTTATGGTTTCTTCTTCTGAATATTCCTTTTCCATATTCTTTGCAGGCTGATTTTCCTTCCCTCACATACTACTACACGTAGCAAGCAGTTCTTCAAGGCTCAGCCTTGGCTCCTCTTTTCTTATTCTGTACTTTTTCTAGGTAGTCTCCTTTATACCCATACGGCTTCGGTTTCTACCTATGCACATGAGTCATTAAATTATATTTCTAGCCCAGACCTTTCTGAATTTGACTATGTAGCCTGCTGAGCTACTTCACATTCTTTTGGGCTGTCTTAAAGGAATTTATAATCATGTCTAGCCTCCCACTTTTCTTCCAGTGTTCTGTATTCTAGAGAATGGCATCACCATTTCCTCAATGATGCAAATCTGAAATCTTGGCATAATTCTTAACTTCTTTTGTCTCTTGATACCTGAGTCACAGTATTAAGTCCTAAGTATTTTATCTCTAAAATGCCTTTTACTCCTTGTCTACTTCTTTCCATCTTTCACAACAATAACTGAAAGCAATCTACTATACTTTCTTTCTTATGTGAACATGTAATATGAAGCAAGAACTGAACCTGTGGAATTAGTTTTTTATTTTTGTTTTGTCTTTAATGAGAATAGGCCAGCTTGTTGAAGATCAGTTGAGAGTGCATATACAAGTAAACAAAAAGTACTCATTGATACACGCTTATTGATGTATGCTTTTAATTTAGGCCAGTGCTCATTCTTAAGGGTATCTTTTCTGAAGTAGAAATGAATGTAGTGGCCTAAACTATATTCAGACTTTATCGACCATAAATTGAGTTGGATGAGGACTTTGATAAATGTTGGTGAAAAACTTTCAAAAAATAAGAATCCTTGGTCTAGGGCAAAATTATGACCTATATAGAAAGCACATGCTATATATACTAAACATAAATACTGAAGTCCACTTGATCCAAGGAGGTACATAGGTAGTACAAAAGATATATGAGCTTAAAATGCTGAACAAGCCAGAATATTTGGATTTATTAAAGTGTTTTGTTTGTACATATAAAACCTGTACTTTGATTTATCAGAATTATAAATTGCACATATATGATCAGAAGTTTCCTTAATTTTATTCACATACTCAGAATAAGGGGAACTTAATTTTTTGACCTTAAAAAAATAACTGTTTACTTCCGTGAAAGTGTTTATCACCTCCACTTTTGGTGATACATAGTTTATAAGAATGGATTACCTCTTCCTCCTCTCTCATTTGTTTCTGCTGCCAGATATGTTCTTTGCACTTTAACATCTCTAAAACTCAAACCTAAATTTTTAAATAACTAAAATCATTCTTAAAAATATATGTATAATGTGTCCTGAATGTAAGATTCATGTAACTCAGTCATATGGAGCAGCTACATTCCAGAGTTTTCTCTTTCTTTCCCCCTCAGATTTTGACATGGCAGGGAGACATCAGAATCGTAGTTTTCCTCTTCCAGGAGTTCATTCAAGTGGTCAAGTACATGCATTTGGAAATTGTACAGACACTGACATGTTGGAGGAGGATGCCGAAGTGTATGAGCTTCGATCCAGAGGAAAAGAGAAAATCCGAAGAAGTACATCAAGAGACAGACTTGATGACATTATAGTATTAACAAAAGATATACAGGAAGGAGATACTTTAAATGCAATAGCCCTTCAGTACTGTTGTACGGTAAGTTTGAATTTGATTTTGCATAATGCTGTCCAAAATAAATTATTTGTTCATTAGCACAAATTGAAGTAAGTTCTGTGCTTTTATCTTGTCTTTTCCTTTCTTTCCGTAGAAAACTGTATTATGTTGGTAGATGTTAACTTTTTAAATTTTTAAGTGAATACTTGGATTTCCGTTTATTTCTAAATCCATGAGTCTAGTTTCAGTATTAAAAGACACCCAAATGTGTTATCTTGTCTCCTTACTCAGGTTTTAAGAGAATATAGAAATATATAAGGAAAAATTTTTTCTGCCTCATCTTCCTGAAATAACACACTTTGGGGTGTTTCTTTCCATACCTTTTTTTGTGCTTATAAAAATAATATGTGTAATATATAAATATAAATATGTATTATCTAAAATATTTGGGGTGTTGGTGATTTTTTGTTTTTCTGTTAAAAAAAAACAAAAAAAAGATAAATAAAAAAAATTTTAAAAACCAAAAAACAATTTTCTTAATGTTTATGTATTTTTGAGAATGAGAGAGACAGAGTGCAAACTGGGGAGGGGCAGAGAGAGGGAGACAAAGAATCCGAAGCTGGCTCCATGTTCTCAAGCTGTCAGCACAGAGCCTGACATGAGGCTTGAACCCACGAACTGTGAGATCATGACCCAAGCTGAAGTTGCCTGCTTAACCGACTGAGCCACCCAGGTGCCCCAATTTTTGTTTTTAAAAATAGGTTTGGGGCACTTGCATGGCTCAGTCAGTTGAGTATCCAGCTTCGGCTCGGGTCATGATCTCACAGTTCGTGAGTCCCAGCCCCATATTGGCTCACTGCTGTCAGGGCAGAACCCTCTTTGGATCCTCTATCGCCCTTTTTCTCTGCCCCTCCCCCGTTCATGTGCACATGCACACGTGTGCGCTCTCTCTCTCCCCCACCCTTCTCTGTCTCTCAAAAAAAATACATATATAAAAACATTAAAAAAATTGGTGTATACTGTGCCTATTACTCTGCAAGTTGCTTTTGTCTTTTTTATTTCTTCCTTTTTTTTTTTTTTTTTTTTTTTTTTGTAATGTTTATTCATTTACTTTGAGAGAGAGAACATGAGCAGGAGAGGGACAGAGAGAGATTGAGAGGGAATCCCAGTCAGAAAGCTGAAAGCTTTCTGTGTGGAGCCCGACAAGGGGTTCAGTCTCATGAAGCATGAGATCATGACCTGAGCCAAAATCAAGGTCAGACACTTAACTTACTGAGCCACCCAGGCACCCCTCATTTCTTAATATATCATAGACATGCCTCACTGTCTTACACATCTAACTCATTTTATATAGTTACGTAGTATTGCATAGTATGGATATTCCATGATATTAAACTATTCTATCATGTACTCAAGATTTTCTTCATGTTTTGAATTGTGTGGTGAATATCATCAGCACTGTATCTTTAAATGGTGGTACACAGGGCACCTGGGTGGCTAAGTCGGTTAAGTGTCCAGCTTCTGCTCAGGTCATGATCTCAAGGTTTGTGGGGTCGGGCTCTGTGCTGACAGTGCAGAGCCTGGAGCCTGCTTCAGATTCTGTGTCCCTTTTTCTCTGTGTCACTTGTGCTCTATCTCAAAAATAAACATTAAAGAAAATTTTTTTTAATTAAAAATAAATGGTGCTACCTTTATTTCTGTGGAGTAGGTTCCCCAAAGTAGGATTGATAAAAAGGGAGCTATATTTTTATTTTAATAATACTAAACTCTTTATATCCATTTTATATATGTGTCATTATGTCCATCTTGCATCCTTAGTGCGGAATCTGTTTTCATGTAAACACGTTGATACGGAAACTGTTTTTTGAACTTTATGTTGTCATACTCCTAGTAGAATTTTGAAATGTATTTACTGTGTACCTCCTTGCACATTTTAAAGTGAGTTTAAATACTTCCTAATGACTTAAAGGATATAATTTCAAAAATGTTGTCACTATTGATAGTTAAAAATAAGACTGTTAGAATACTCTTTATATGCTCTCTCTCTCGCTCGCTCTCTCTCTCCCTCTCCTTTTAAATGTTTATTTTTGAGATAGAGTATGAGCTGGGGAGGGGCAGAGAGAGAGGGGGACAGAGTATCCCTAGCAGGCTCTGTCCTGACAGCAGTGAGCCCAATGTGGGGCTCGAACTCACAAACTGTGAGATCATGACCTGAGCTCAAGTTGGACCCTCAACTGACTGAGCCACCCAGGTGCCCCAGTGTATAAGCATGAAACTTTTTTTTTTAAATTTTTTTTTTTTCAACATTTATTTATTTTTGGGACAGAGAGAGACAGAGCATGAATGGGGGAGGGGCAGAGAGAGAGAGAGACACAGAATCGGAAACAGGCTCCAGGCTCTGAGCCATCAGCCCAGAGCCTGACGCGGGGCTCGAACTCACGGACCGCGAGATCGTGACCTGGCTGAAGTCGGACGCTTAACCGACTGCGCCACCCAGGCGCCCCTAAGCATGAAACTTTTACTAGCATAAAAGTTTTATCATTCCTTTTTCTCCTTGATTAAAATTTTCATCCTCCCTCCACAGTCTTCCATAATGTATATTTTTGTACTTGAGAGCCTTTTATTGGTTACCTGTCATAGTTCTCTATAATAATATCATACATATATATAAACTTGTTTATACAAATACATACAAATTTATTTTACTTATTTTTTTTTAAAAATTTTTTTTTTTTTTTCAACATTTATTTATTTTTGGGACAGAGAGAGACAGAGCATGAACGGGGGAGGGGCAGAGAGAGAGGGAGACACAGAATCGGAAACAGGCTCCAGGCTCTGAGCCATCAGCCCAGAGCCCGACGCGGGGCTCGAACTCACGGACCGTGAGATCGTGACCTGGCTGAAGTTGGACGCTTAACCGACTGCGCCACCCAGGCGCCCCTATTTTACTTATTTTTAAATGTTTATTTTGAGAGGGAGTGAGAGCGTGAGTGGGGAGGGGCAGAGAGAAAGGGAGAGAAAAATCTCAAGCTGACAGGTTGGAGCCCATCATGGGGCTTGATCTCACGAATCATGAGATCATGACCTGAGCTGAAATCAGGAGTCAGATTTTTAACCCACGGAGCCATACAGGCACCCCCAAATATATACAAATATGAACTGAATTTTTAAAAATTACCTGTGACCCTAAGGTTCTATGTATTTTTTTTTAAAATAATTACTGCAATTCATAGTTGTTCAAAACAGACACATTAAGAATTTTTATTTAAAAACTTAATAAAGTATTTTAGTGAAACACATTTCTTGATGAGATAAGAGCTGGATTTTGGGCGGGGGGTTTGTAACTTGTTCATGGAGGCAGTACCATTTATTATTATATCATAGTGTATCTGGTTTAATTTTTAACGTAAACATGTGAATTCATGTTTTGTAGAGAAATAATTTACAAAATGTGCTTTAGAAGGTTGATGATGGATAGTAACTAAGATTACCTAAGGGATACAGGAGTGCTGATGCATAGGGGCACTTGCACCCCAATATTTATAGCAGCACTTTCAACAATAGCCAAATATCTCCTATGGAAAGAGCCTAAACGTCCGTCAATTGATGAATGGATAAAGAAGTTGTGGTTTATATATACGATGGAATACTACTTGGCAATGAGAAAGAATGAAATATGGCCTTTTGTAGCAAAGTGGATAGAACTGGAGAGTGTTATGCTAAGTGAAATAAGTCATACAGAGAACAGATACCATATGGTTTCACTCTTAGGTGGATCCTGAGGAACTTAACAGAAGACCATGGGGGAGGGGAAGGGGAAAAAAAAGTTACAGAGAGGGAAGGAGGCAACCCATAAGAGACTCTTAAAAACTGAGAATAAACTGAGGGTTGATGGGGGGTCGGAGGGAGGGGAAAGTGGGTGATGGGCATTGAGGAGGGCACCTGTTGGGATGAGCACTGGGTGTTGTGTTGAAACCAATTTGAAAATAAATTTCATATTAAAAAAATAAATAAATAAAATTAGGGGCCAGGCTGAAATTACCAAGGTGGAGATTCAAAAGTGTGGTCCACTAGCTTTATTAGAGAAAGACATGGATTTTTTTTTAACGAACCTAATAAATTGAAGAGAAGTTTGAAATGCCATCTATATGAATGATTAAAAATAGATTATATTTCCATTGAGGTGAAAAGGAAAAAAATATGACTAGAGTGTATGAGGAGAAAGGTATAGGACAGTGATATGGAGAAGATTTTAAGGAGAAAATAAGGTGAACAACAGAGGAAGTTTAATAGATGTTTCAAAAATGAGGGGCGTAGACTGATTGGGATGAAGCACTTTGAGAGAACTGAGGAAAAGTTTGATCTATATAGTAAGAACACTGCTATAAGGTTTAACAAGAGTACTACAAAATGGTAGGGAACCTGCTGGTGAGTTGGAGGGGACCCAGTAAGGAGGTTGTTGGAATAATTCAAGTGAAGATGATCAGGGCTTGGACTAAAATATGTGTATTAATGATAGAGAAGAGGTTTACAGAGATTATTTGGGGGTATTCAGCTGATTCCTTATTTAAAATGAAGAATGATGAAAGGGCAGTTAGGATAACATTAGAGGAAAGAAGGTCTTGTCTACAATAAGGAAGATTGATACAACAGTGTTAGGGAGTTAAGCAATGCTCCCTTTTACCAGGAGCTGAACCAGCAAAAAAAGGAAGAACCTTACAAAAGGATTTATCACTTTAAAAATAGGGTACTTATGGGGTGCTTGGGTGGCTTGGTTAAGAGTCTGACTTCAGCTCAGGTTATGATCTCGCAGTCAGTGAGTTTGAGCCCCATGTTGGGCTCTGTGCTCACAGCTCAGAGACTGGAGCCTGCTTCGGATTCTGTATCTCCCTCTCTCTGACCCTTCCCCACTTGCACTTTGTCTTTCTCAAAAATGAATAAAGAGGGGCGCCTGGGTGGCTCAGTCGGTTAAGCGGCCGACTTCGGCTCAGGTCATGATCTCGCGGTCCGTGAGTTCGAGCCCCGCGTCAGGCTCTGTGCTGACAGCTCAGAGCCTGGAGCCTGTTTCAGATTCTGTGTCTCCCTCTCTCTGACCCTCCCCCATTCATACTCTGTCTCTCTCTGTCTCAAAAATAAAATAAAGTTAAAAAAAAAATTTAAAAAAAAATTAAAAAAATGAATAAACATTAAAAAAAATTTTTTTAAATTCACTTCACATAGTTTATAAAAAAGTAAATAAAAATAGGGTACTTAGTGCTGTATTCCTCTTGTAAGTACTCAATTTTAGAAATTATTAAAAATATGCCAGTCATAAAACTGACAAGAGCATAAAAATTGTAAGGTTGGAATCCTAAATGCAACCAAAGAAGTTAGTATAATGGAGAATATAGGGATAATTAGAGTGAGAACCTAGGTAGACACTAAGACTTGGAAGCCTGGTTTAGAAAGAGTATGGAGTAGTTACTAGTCAGAATAGACAATACCAAACAAATATTTAAAGAGAATGGGGTCAGATTTTGGAGTTTGTCAGTGAGTCTTCATTTGCCTTAAACAGTCTTGAGGTCATAAACTTTCAAAGCATCCTTTATTGTCTCATCTAATTACTCCTCAGTCTTCCTCTCCATCCTCTTCCCACATATACACTTCCAGGGAGTTGATTTTTCCAACAGGAACTCTCATTCTTCAGTGAACTTGATCAGAAATCTGTAGTTGATCAGTCACCACCCCCTCCTAAAAACCGTCTTTGTTTGACCTCCTTGATTCTTCAGCTTTCTGATTTTCCTACTAGTAATATTTAATAACAGCTAACATTTGCATAATGTACTATATATTGCTATTTGAATGTTCATGTTTTAATTTATTAATCTTTGCAAAACCCTATGTGGCAGGTACTGTTACTACTGTCATTTTACATATGTGGAAATTTCATTGCAGAGAGGTTAAACAACTTGCCCCAAATCATAGAGCTAGAAAGTATCATAGCCATCCGTCAAACCCAGATAGTCAAACCCACCATTGTATATTGCTTTCTTGGCCACTCTTTGCTTTTAAAAATTTTATTTTTAACTAATCTTTGTACCCAATGTGGGGCTCGAACTCACAACCCCAGGATCAAGAGTCACACACTCTTTTGACTGAGCCAGCCAGCCACCCCTTGGCCATTCTTTCTTAATCTCCTTTGTAGATTTCTCTTATTCAACCTAACCCTCAAATGTTGGCATTCCTCAGTCATCTTTCATTTATCACCTTTTTCTCCTAGTCTTTTTTAGTGAATCTGTGTACACTTGTGACTTCATTTACCATTTTTTGCTGATAATCCACAAGTCAATATTTCTAGATGAGATCATTCTTTCAAATTTCAGACATATAAACTCCCTGTTGGATAACTTCCACCTAGATATTTCAGTCACCTCAAAGTCAACACGTATATAATCTGTGTTTATTTTCTTTTCTCCCTCCAAAGTGTTCTATATCTCAGTAAATGACATTATTATCCATTGAGTTGACCAAGCCAGAAAAGCTTTATCCTGGACACACTTTACCTCTCTGACATCAATCGAGTGATAAATGACTAGGGCTTAGGTTAAAGCATTGATGGAAATCATGAATGGGACTAATCACTCAAAGATTATGGGAGGCCTAGCATAATAACGGGTAATCTGAGGAATACTCCCATGCTCTCCCTCCTTACAATGGCAGGTAGATAGGATATACAGACAGGTTGAGGACTGTATAATACATAGGGAAAGCTTATAAAAAATGACTCATCTTGGGGGTGGTTGAATACTGCATGAACACAGAAGTTAGGGAAAATGTCATTAGAAGACAAATAAGGGAAATATGTTATCTAAGGTGCATGTTTTTTGATACATTTTAACATCTTTTAAAGTGGAATGGTGGCACCCTCAATATTTTTTTTTCCTTAGTGATAAATAATGGCACATCTTAGAGTTGATGGCATCTTAGTTTTGGTAAAATATGGTAGTTTTAGTTGGATAAGTTGATATTTGCCTATATTCTAATTGCAAGAATGAAAGAACATAAATAACTGTAATTCTTCCTTCTCAATGTTTACAAACAGCAGAAGTGTGATATTTGTGCATGATGTACAAAGAGAAATATCAAAGGATTCCAGGATCTACTTAAATACCTAACATTTGTGTTAGTACATGAGTGACAGTAAAAAGTAATTAGTGATTTCCTAAGACTGGTAGATCAAGAGTGGTATAGAACTGTTATCCACAAATAAAATCTCTCTGGGTGTGATAACTTAATACTACTAATAATTAAACTCTACCTTTTTTTTTTCCTTCCAAAAGTAATGGGATGAATGAATACTGTTACCTCTGTTTTGATTGGAAATTCAGTTGAATGTTGCTTTTTTTTTTTTTTTTTTTTTTTTTTTTTTTTTTACAGGTAGCAGATATCAAGAGGGTTAATAATCTCATCAGCGATCAAGACTTTTTTGCCCTTAGGTCTATCAAAATTCCAGTTAAAAAGTTTAGTTCATTGACTGAAACACTTTATCCTCCAAAAGGAAGACAGGCTTCACGTCCGTCATCTGTCCAGTATGTTCCAGAACAACAGGAAATTTTGCCACCTAATGATTCTCTTTCTTCCAGTGAGTCAGCTGGTAGCTTTTTAAAAGAAGTAGACCGAGATATAGAACAAATAGTAAAATGTACAGACACCAAAAGAGAGAACCTTAATGAGGTGGTATCTGCTTTAACAGCACAACAAATACGTTTTGAACCTGATAACAAAAACATTCAACGTAAGGATCCTTATTATGGAGCAGACTGGGGAATAGGGTGGTGGACAGCCGTAGTGATAATGTTGATAGTAGGTATAATAACGCCAGTATTTTATTTGCTGTATTATGAAATTTTAGCTAAAGTGGATGTTAGTCATCATTCAACAGTGGATTCCTCCTCACATTTGCATTCAGGAGTCACACCCCCATCACAACAGAGAGAAATGGAAAATGGAATTGGTCCAACTAAGGGAATACCCTTTGGCCAACATGATCATAAACTATATAGTCAAGATTCTCAGTCACCTGCTGCTCAACACAAAACATAGCAGTGAGCTCATACTTACAGTGTTAATGATCACGTGAATCTGGAGTGTGATGAATCAAACCACTTCAAAGGCAGAAGTTAAGGAGATTGAAGATGCTTTTGTTTTTCACCCTTTTTTGGAGCCATTTACAAATAGATTGAGTGTGAACTTCCTACAGTTGGTCATTGATATTGAGAGTTGTAAATCCATATACCTTGTATCAATGCTTAAAGCAGAAATGAATTTAAATATGGGTCTAGGAAGTTCTTAACTTGGAAAATGTATCATTTTTTACATTCAAGACTGGTTATGTTTTATTTTTCAAGTAATTATTTTTTGGCTTAAGGTTGTTAATATTAAATATATTAGGCAAAATAACTTTTATAAGCCCCTAAAATAATGTGTATGGTTGGGAAGTTGCCATTTGGTCCCTGGAACACTGGATTAGGTCAAGACCTAAAAGTGATCTTTGTCTCTTAAAGCTTGGTGCCTCTGCTTCTGTTTTTTAAGTGACTATATTTGCCTCTGTTATTTGAAAGCACTTTTGTAATTCTTTAATGAAAAGTGTTATACAGATTAGCATTATTTAGGAATTAAATCCTCACATACTGTGATAAGTTGTTGCTGTGTTACTTGTAGTAACATGCCTTAATTACATTTAATGCCTTATAATACTACTTATGTAAGCTAATTTAATTTTTAGAATTAAAATTAAGTATTATTTCAGATGGTCCAATAGGATTCATAACATAGGCTGTATAAATTCATCTCCACCTTCACTATCAAGCACAACTTCATGGGGTTAAAACAAATTTTCATTGTCTGCCTCTGAGATCTGTTGTAGAAATTGGTTCATGAATCAAAAGCAAAGATGAGAGAGACCTTTTGCATGAAAGTAACAGACAAATTATTGATTGACCCATTAACCTGTATTTTTCAAAGAGAAAATGTTCAACTTAAACCGTTTTTTCCTCTGAACTATAGCATCAAATTGGGCAGCAGAGGCTAAAGGTGTGTAGATCAGTTGAAAGGGCTTGATAGTGCTACTTCTTAAGATTTGCTGTGGATCAGATACAGTCTGGCTAAGTAAACATCATTTGTATACTAATTTCCATCATTTAATTTCTTAAAGTGTGTGTTTTAAAAATGTAACCAAAATGATTAATTAGAAGTAAGATTTGGTGGAGTCTGGATTGCCTGTTTTGTGTATAATAAAGTATGTACCTGTAGGTATATAATACCACTTCATTTTCTGGGCATTATTTACTAATTTTTAATGTTTCAGCTTTAGACCAGTGATTTTATATTTCAAACTCCAATATTGGTAATAAGTGGGGTGAAAAAGTACATATGGTACATGAAGTTCTATGTACTTTCAGGAGCAAAGTATCATAAAAAGACAGGACAAAGAAGTCAAACATTAAAGCTCTTGCATATATTAAAGGACCTTAGACAGTTAACGAAAAATGTTAATATTGGAAGTTGTAGCAAAATCATTTTTTGAGTAACTTTTTAGTTTGAAATTTTAAAATTATTTTAATGTGCCTTAGCATCTTGAAAATATGTATGATCTTTCGACTTTATGCTGTGTTAACTTGGTTGGTTTACATTGTATTTATTACGCCTGCTGAAAAATCAAGTTTTAGGAAAGAAAAATGGATTATTTTAGAGTGGAATGAAGAACTTTGTTTACATCGAATTGATGAAATTAGTCAAGTGATTCCTTTTTGCTAGTGGTACTTTGAAATTGTGGTAGGTCTGATTTCAAAATAAGTTACGTAAGGTAGTAAAGTGTACTGTGTACTTGATTAAAAACCATTTCAGTCTTGTAGAATGGCCTCTTGAAGGAAATAGAACATATCCTTATGACACAATCAGGCAGTTTCCTTTTTCTATATATTTGAATTATATCTAATTCTATATATATCTTATATATAGACTTTTAGATTCTAATCTTTAAGGGTCATTTTAAATGAAAAAAAATTTCCTAAGCATTTAACAGGTCTAGAATAATTTTAGCTTTTAAAAAGTACTAGTATACATCAAAATTTGTGGCAAACACAGATTAGTTTATAAAACTTAATAAGAGTTATTGTTTGATATTGTGGATTTTGTGTTGAAACTCTTTGAATTTACTTGGATGCTTTACATTAGAAGGTATATATGTAATATATATATATGCTAGCAACCGCAAATGAGTTTGGTTCACTTAAAAAAAATGGAGTTGTAAGTGAAGAAAAATCTGCTATTTTTAGAGCAGATTATTATTTTTTTTTAAGTCTGGGTACAAATAGTTAGGGTTGTTTTGAACTATTGGATGCCATTTAAAGTTTTTGCTGTCCTACTCCTAGAAAATTATGGGATTCATGTCTTCAAAAGATAGATTAAAATGGATTATACAGTCGGCTGGCCACATTAGAATTATAAGACTGTAATGCTAAATGAACTTTTCCAAAGGACTTACCGTTTAAAGCTTTTTTTTTTTCTGGACTCTACTTGCTTGTTCAGTGGCTTGAAGAATTCTTTAAATGAACCACTACTTAATTATTTCTTAATTTTTAAGGTATCTTAAGGTATCTTTAAGGTTCTTTTTAAGGTATCTATTTCTAAAATTACCTACTTGGGTATATGAAGGATGTTTCAGAAATGCTATGAAGAAAGGATCCAGTCAAAGAATTACAGGGTAAAGGTGGAGTTTTTAGAAGTCTATTTAAATGGTGCATTATGATGGGTATCATTCTTATTTTGAATTACAACACCGTTACTCAGGAAATCAGTATTTTTCTTCCAAGTATATGCATATTGCACTGTTAGATCATAGAAATATCTGAATGCTTTATTTAATTCTTTTTATGTATGCAAATACTATAAATCTTTTGTATAATGTATTGGATACAAATGCAAAATGGAATTGTAGAACATTGTTAGCATGTACATCTGTAAAACTGGTTTTTAAAATTTTCTGCCCCGTATTTTTTGTATTTTAAGATATGCAAAATGTAATAAAGTTTCTATTTTATTATTCAATGTAAAATGGAAGCTGGTGAATTTAATTGAATAAAAGCAAACGTTTTCTCCTCTTCTTTCAAACTATTTAAAATAGAGATACTATGTAAGGTGGATAGAATTGCCAGAGGTTTAGTAATTCATATTTCCTCCTTGTTAGAATGAAATAAAATCCACTGGATTATTTATAAGACATAAATGAAAACAAATTTCAGATGAGTGTTCTTTGGATGCTCTTCGATATCAGAGAAGATGACCTTAAAAGGCATGATCCATGACTTCTTAGCAAGTTGTGGGTCAGACATTTAACAAATTATGTGTAAATTTTATCATAAAACCACCTTTCCATTTCAAGGGTATTTTATTTTTAAAAGTTACCAGTAGCAAAAAGAATTGAAAAAGTTGGTTTGAAGCTTTTATTCATTTAGTGGAAGAATTTGTGATGTAATCCTTACTTTTCCTTAAAATTGTACTTAAAGTTACGTTTTAATAAAAAGTTCTTACTAACTCCAGAGCCTTTAACCATATTAAGGCAAAGCCATTGACACTGTACGTTATGGTGGGGATGGAAAGTTTAACAAGATCCTCCAGATTTCTTAGCATTCTGTGTATCCAGTGTAGGTCTGTGATACTACTGATCACACTAATATTACACTGCCAAATCTTAATTTATCATGACTTTAATCACCTTGAGTTTTCTTTTTTGTTGGTGTTTATTCAAGAATATTTGATAGTGTCATTCTTGCTCAATAAATATTTTACTAGGTAAAATCTGTATTTTCTCTATCAAATATATTTAAGTAGGCTCAAAATAAAACATGTTCATATAAAACAAAAGGACACAATTTTGTTTTGTAAGAATTTAATGTGTAAACAAAAAATAAGCATTGTAGCAAAAAGGTATGCCTGTTAATATAGCAAATTTAAAGACACTTCAAGTACTTTTTTTATATATAGGAGGCTATCTTTGCATTAAAGTTTACCTTCTTATAGAATACCTAACTTCACAGTCCCTGAGAATTTAAGCCAGAAAAACAAGACTCATGCTGGTAAAGCAGCCTGCAAATACTACCTATCTGTTCTCACGGTTGGTCAACCTTAAACTTCTACAAAGATCTTCCAAGGGGGGAAGACAATGCACTTAAGGCAGATGGCTGGAGCCTCCTGGAGCTAATCCTTACCTAAAAGGGCTGTCTTACCATCTGCTGGACTAAAATTGTGGAGGCAAATTGAAAGCTAGGAAAAATACTTCAGTGCATTTGCTCAATTCACAAAGTTATCTGCAGATTTATAATAAAGCAGTAAATAGAACCATTGAGATCAGATTTCTATAAATTAAGTGGTATTTGGCTAAGGTACTAAGGAAGTGAGAGAATGAAACAATATTTTTTAAATTTTTATTTTTTGAGAGAGCGCATGTGTGCAAGCACACACAAGTGGGTCAGGAGCAAAGGGAGAGGGAGGGAGAGAATCCCACACTCAGTGCAGAGCCCAGCGTGGGGCTCCATCTCACGACTGTAAGATCATGACTTGAGCTGAAATCAAGAGTCAATGCTGAAATGAATAAGCCACCCAGGTGCCCCTAAAACATCAATGTTTTAATTAATAATCCTAAGTGACTATTTGCTCATTACAACTGGAAACTTTATGACCTTCTAAGTCCAGTAGATTGTTGTTTTAATGTGGACTTTTTTATTCCTGTTTTCCATTTAGAATGTTTACAATTTCCCAGAAGCTTATTTCAATAATTCACATATGATCAACACAGCACTGAACTATGGTCTTCACACGCATCTTGAATTAACTGAGGAGGTATTAAAATTGAAAGTGATCTTTTTCCTGAGAAAGTCACATTACAAAATGGCACAATATACATTTTCTCCAATCTTCCCCTCCAGAATACACGATGGGAAAATCAGATTATAATATATTTTTTGAGGAAAATATGTTTGATTTTTAAAACTTTTAAATCACTTACCAAGCTACAATTTTTTAGAGGGTGATGGCCAAATTAAAATTAAGTGATCATTTCTATAAGGTATGAATGAATACATACAGCAAATTTTGGTTGGTGTTTAAGCAATTTTTGTAGGAAATAGTTTACAGGTGGAGAAACTAAGGCACAGAAAACCAAGCTCATTTTCAAGACTGAGTCTAATGGTAAAGGCAGAAATAGAATTTGGCTGTGATTCTCAAGGTTACAGGGTAATAGGTAATACCTTCCCTAAAGAGAAAATTTATTCCTTTTGGTAGGTAACAATCATCTAAAAATACATAATATGAATTCCCTTGAAAATCTTTGGCATTTGTGTGTCTTTGGAGGCTGAGGGTTTTTAGGTATTTTCCCTGCCAAAATAGAAAAAAAGCAGGGGAGCTAGTTTTTAATAAACAAAAAAGATGGATCTTGATTTTAAAATGACCTGAGTTTTATTCTGCACTGTGATATAAATCACTTGGGTAACTAGGAGTCCTATGAAATTTAACAGCAGCCACTACACCTCAAAAATCTGCCATTTTCCCCAGCGTGTATGTTTTTGATCACAAAACTTCCAATCTCATAAATTACACCGTTGTGAACTCAGGTAGGTTTATGTAGTCGTAGCACAGAACATACCATGTAAAAGTAAAAGATAAAATTATTTTCAAGTTTCTTTGTTTTTAAAGTGCTCCTTGTGCAGTATTAATCAATGTTCAGATTACAGAAATCCACTATGATGACCAGTACTAGTTTTACAACAGATCAAGTTAAACAAGAATAATTTGTTCAAGTATGAATACATAGATTAAAAGATGCAAAAACTCTAGGCACATTCAAATCTGAATAATACAAAAAAAAAAATCCACTTGAACACATAAGAGGCATGACAGGGTGTTGAGAAGGAATGTCAGAGCATCAGAGACTAACTGGTAAGGTACCTAGTATGTAAACTCAATGTGGTTCCGAGTATTTTGACAGCAAATATTTGTCTAACAAAACAGGAACAAAAATACAATACTCATTCCTTATCAGAAATAGAAAACAAGTCTGTCCAAATATTTAGAAGCTATATCATAAAGATATTTTTGGAGACATTCCATAGCTAATAGGTTGCTTCATCCATGTTGTCATCACTGTCTGCACCAAAATCATCTCCATCTTCAAAGTATGAATTAATGTAGTCATTTTCCTAAGTGAAGTGAGAAATTTCTCAGTTAACATTAAAATGAATTAGTAACATTATTAAAAAACAATTTAGGCTGTCCCTTTAATCTTAATTTATGAATATCAAATATGGGGAATAAGAAAATATATCCCGCTTTAAGAAAGTCTCTGCTATTTCATCTCCTTAAATATTTTTCACTCCCATCTACCTGTGCTGCTTTCCACAAGACCATCACCTCCTACTATTCTCAGGCACCAACTAGTTAAGAGAAAATGAAGGAATGTCCGTTACTCCTTAGTAGAATGATACATCGAATTCATTATACCTCAGTAAGATGATACAGGGTTTAGTTAGCCAAACCAGCAATTAGTTACTCCAAACAAATGTACAATCAAGAAACAAAGCCAATTTACATTAACATTCAAGTACACCAGAACTGAGGTTTTCAGTCCTGATGTGTAATTGAGCGGAAGTAGAGGGATTTTTGCTTTCTATCAAAATACAAGCCTCAAGATACCAAAAAAAAAAAACCTAGAAAATGCCATATTCCATCTGGGAGCCCTCAGTTTCCTTGAGGTTAAGAGGGATTAAACTCCTGGGAACATTTCAATTATTAAGACAGGGTAAGACTATTATCCATGTAAATGATTCCTGATATTTCTGTGCTTTCTATCAAAAATTTAAAAATCCATTTTGGATATGGATTAAAAGAAATTTAAGAGCATTATTAACCAATTCCAGTGTATGGGATGTATCTGGATTTTGATTGGAACAAACAAAAAGAATTTGGCGGACAATTGAAAATATTTGAACATTGGCTTAATATTTGATGATATTAAGGATATTAGGTGTACTAATGATGTTGTGATGTTGTTAAAGAGTCCTTATTTTTTAGTCCATACTGAAATATTTATGGATGAAATGATACAATGCCTGGGATTTGCTTTATAATAATCCAAGGTGGATGGGGAATGGAAGTGGGGCGGGATAGGAGTGGACTGGGTGAATGAATGGGTGGTTGAAAGACTGGCTATAAACTGATGATTGTTAAAGCTGGGTGATAAGTCCATAGATGTTTATTTTACTAGTTACTAGATTTTTGGACATCATTGAAATCTGCCATAAAAATATTAATCTGCATTTCTACTCTCTATAACAGGAGTTACGATACAGTAACAAAATAAAGACTATTCTCTAAAGAAAGGCATCTGGATTTCAGCTTTATAAGTATCTATGTGGTGGGATTTTTTACTATGTAACTTTATATAAATAATGCAAGACAACTTGCATTATTCAGATATAGATTTCATTACTTTGTCTTCCCTCAACACTGTAAGTTTCTATATCCAGTAAGTTTCCGTATCATCTCCAGTAAGATGGCCTGGTTTCTCTGTTGCCAAGAAATCTAATGATGTCTGGAAATATGGCTGAAGCCTGGGGCTAGTGTACAGGGGAGGTGTGGCACGGTTGAGAGTTCAAATGAACCTCACTGTAAATGAAATTGGAAGGGATACTCCACTATTCCAAATCAAGCACATGCAATTTATGCTTTAGACATGAGCACCTCCAAGTACATTCAGTGATTCACAATAGGTAATTTCGTGATGTTAATAATATTGATACAGGTACAAAGTGAGAACTTGTTGAAACTGATGGCTTAAATGGTTCTTGGCTTTCATTTGAACGCTTGATTTTTTTCTTTAATAACAATATTCACAAGACCGAGGAAAGAAAAAGTCTGTATTTCTTGAATTTTACATAGAGGTGTTATATAGATAGTTATATATATATATATATATATACATACATATATATATATGTATATACATGTATATATATACACACACA